TTCACTCCCAGAGATTGTGAATTTTTCCTTAAAACCGTTACCATATATATATATATATAAGACGAAGTGTTGTGTTGATGACCATACGTGCACGCACATGTTTCTAAAGTGAAATGTAAATTGCGTCTTTAAGTAAAACAGACTTTGTGATATGCACCCCTGTAGACAGAAATAATGTCTACGATGGTTTTATCAGGTAACAGGGATTTCAGTGGCATTCTACTCACTGTTGTCTATGAGTTCCGGGGGATTAGAGAATTACAGCAATGCGACAGCCTATAAACAATACTTTTTACTTTGACATTCATATTATAAGCTGCGACTCACTTTTCAACACCTTTTTAATCTTGATATCTAAGTTAGTAACTGATTTTTCTTATAGCCTACTCCAGGATTGTTTTTTTTGACTGAACATTTACTTCAAGAAATCACTGCACAACGGTATTATTATTAATATTGTTTCCTTGAGTGCCTAGTGGAACATAGGGCTTCAACTGCACGTCTCCACTTGCTTCTGTCTTCCTTCTGCTGTACTTTTCACCTGCATCCATGTTAGTCCATACTGTTTCAACTACTCTTCACACCATCTCCTCCATGTCACCCTTGCAATGACGTCCCACTCGAGCTGTGGCCTGACGCCCGATATCACCAACCGGCCTCCTCAACGAGTGTCCAATCCATCTCCACTTTCTCCCGCATATTTGTCACTTGGCGAGTGGTTCTTGTTTTGTTCGTTCCTTCCCATAGTTTCTTGTTGGTGGTTCTTTCCACCCCGGCCATCTGATCTTCAGTATAGATCCAGCGAAGACAGTTGTTGGTAAAGGTCTTGTGTGCAACAGGCTGGCTGTTGGAAATATTCTTTGTGACCCGTCCGCCCGCCCACCAACTTTCTCATCCGTATACAAGAACTGACTGACTTGACGCTGTTTGTGTTGAAAATCCGACCGAATCTTGTTGTTGATTCTGGCTGAGTGACGAAGATTTCCTTCCACATTGGTTTCAGGTAGATGAGTGAATGTGTTTCTCGCTCGCCTTCCAGATTCTCGCTCGATTTGACATCCTCGTCCGTCCCGAGTGTCTGTAGTTGAGACAATGCTCCCTAGATGAGTGAGTGAGTGAGTGAACGAAGTAACCTCTTTCAAATCCGTTCCGTTGATGGTGATTGGCGCTGTATGTTGCTGCTGTTGTTGTTGGTTGGTTATTTTCATAACGTCCGTCTTGTCTATGCTCACCTAAAGTCTTGTATAGTTTCAAACACTGTTGTGAAGTAGTGTTAGGGTTTGGAGTCTACAGTCTACTCATCTCCCAATAATCATTAAATATCAATGAAGTAATCATTACAGAATAAGATGACGTTGATTATTTGTCTTTGTTCTAGTTGTGTTCTCTGAATGGGATGATTTAATTAAAAAACTTTCATTATTCATCCCAACAACATCTTCACCTGATCCATAGATCGTCTCCATCATTGCGACAGTAAGCTCCAACCATCTAATATCATAAAATCTTATCTATAATGGAGACATAGCTGTTATTGTACTAGGTTTTGTTGCCAAGTGGAGAATGAGGTGGGTGGTGTGGATGTTGTGAATCTGTATTTTGGTATTTCATTAATATCACAGAAAATAGTTGCTATCGAACAGACATTTATATATCTACATAAATTTTAAGTTAATTTAAGCTAAGCGGTGATTTAAACAGTTAATAAAGTTTACTGGAAAAAACAAGATTATCCCGATTTCAGTACAAAATTATCAAGCGATTCCAATGTACCAGATAAATTAACATCTTTTTATCTTCAGCTTAAAATGCATAAATGCATTGAATATACATTATACCCTAATATCTCTTGAATAAGTTTCAGCTAGACACTGTAATGTTCTCTCCCTTCCTTCCTTCATTCTACTTCTAGGTTGGTTGGTGTGTATACTCTATTGTTTTTAAATTTTATTCACGTTATCTCCATTCCAATGTAATTACGTTGTTCAGGCTCGCCTGTGAAAACGCCATGAATATCAATAAATACACTTAAATACAACATTTAAACTAATTAGGTTGTTCTCAGTTAACTGTCTCCTCAATATGTTTGTTTGGTTTTTAAGATCACGAGTTAAGCTAAAAGGAAGCCTTCGAACGAGAACATAGTTACACACCTGTATGAGATAAAGAAAGAAAGAAAGAGAGAGGGAGATTCTTTATTTTTCAAATTAACGTGATTTGAAATGGTCAAATCAAGAGAGCTTTCCGAATAATGTATAACTTGTGTGTACCAAGAGTGTGTGTGTGTGTGCGTCAGAGAGAGAGAGAGAAAGGGAGTAGATAAAAGAAACTCTCGGACTTTCAAGGTCTGCTCAACAGAAACACGAATCAATCTTTCTTTATACTCAAACAACCAGTATATAACTGACAAATTCAACATTTATGCACAACAAATGTGTATAAATATGATTTATTTAGACATGGTTGGTGTGAATGAATGTACACATATTTGTTTCGAAATTTAAATCGAAGTCATTAAAACATCAATGTTAATGCATATTCTTCTTTCGTGTGTGTGTGTGTGTGTGTTTAATGTATACTGATATCTGAGTTGTGTGTAACTTTTTTTTCTAATATGCCCATGTTTAGAAGTGCATTATTCCTGTGAAGATTCAAATCCTATGAACTAAATTTATGGACACTGGTAAAGCACAAAATAAAATGGATTTTTTAAAAACGCAACAACTATGAAAACGTAGAAAAATTAACAGTTGTGCAAACGAACTTTTCCTTATAAATAGTCTAAAAAGCATATAGTAATGTATGTGTTAGTTACGAGGATGAAAACAACCTATGCTCACAACCGCATACACACACACATTGCAGTTAGTTTGCTCTAGTGAACTAATCTGATAAGAAGAGTTTCTAGTTGAATCACTGAAAGTGTTGTAATTAACTCTAGGTGACCGAGTAGTAATACCTAACTAATAAACTTCACTAGCATAGATAGTCCATCAGTGAAATGTTCGCCAACCACCCATGTGGTTCGGGGTTCGATGTCTTTTGGGGAAGGTTGGGCGTGAGGCTAGTAACCCCCCCCCTGATGAAAATAAACACCACTGCTACTGAAACTTCACAGCTGAAGTTTGAAGCTCTATGTTCCACTTGGAACAAAAAGGAATAAAATAAATAAATTTAAAAAAAAACTTCATTCGAAGTAAGTGGATTGACTTCGTTTGTGTAACTCTTGTCAACCAGTCTGCACAGGCAACAGATTATCAGCTTTGCTGTCGTCATTACATTAGTTGTTTTCTTTATTTAAAAAATTCGTTTCCTCCAGCAATCCAGTAACTCTGTAATTTTACGCTTCTCTTCATTCTTTAGTCACTCCTCAATCTGGGCATTTAGGCTACTACTCGAGTACTACGGCGTACCCCAAATATTCAACCTTATTCAACAGGTGTACGACGACGGCACATGTTAAGTGATCCACAACGGAAAACTCAGCGAGGCGTTTGGAGTAAACACAGGAGTCAGACAAGGGTGCTTATTTTCAAAAATGATATTCCTAATTGTCGTGGAATGGATTATGCGTCAGACAGTGGGAAAAGAGAAGACAGGAATATCCTGGACACACAGACGTGAAGAACCTACAAGACCTGGATTTTGCTCGGAGATGATTTTTGTTTGATGTCACACAAAATCGAAGACTTACAAGCGAAAACCGACAAACTGGTCGAAGGAGCTGCCAGCGAAGACAGGACTCCATGTGAACATAGACAACCAACAACAACAGCAACAACATCCAGCGCCAATCACCATCAACGGAACGGATTTGAAAGAGGTTACTTCGTTCACTCACTCACTCACTCATCTAGGGAGCATTGTCTCAACTACAGACACTCGGGACGGACGAGGATGTCAAATCGAGCGAGAATCTGGAAGGCGAGCGAGAAACACATTCACTCATCTACCTGAAACCAATGTGGAAGGAAATCTTCGTCACTCAGCCAGAATCAACAACAAGATTCGGTCGGATTTTCAACACAAACAGCGTCAAGTCAGTCAGTTCTTGTATACGGATGAGAAAGTTGGTGGGCGGGCGGACGGGTCACAAAGAATATTTCCAACAGCCAGCCTGTTGCACACAAGACCTTTACCAACAACTGTCTTCGCTGGATCTATACTGAAGATCAGATGGCCGGGGTGGAAAGAACCACCAACAAGAAACTATGGGAAGGAACGAACAAAACAAGAACCACTCGCCAAGTGACAAATATGCGGGAGAAAGTGGAGATGGATTGGACACTCGTTGAGGAGGCCGGTTGGTGATATCGGGCGTCAGGCCACAGCTCGAGTGGGACGTCATTGCAAGGGTGACATGGAGGAGATGGTGTGAAGAGTAGTTGAAACAGTATGGACTAACATGGATGCAGGTGAAAAGTACAGCAGAAGGAAGACAGAAGCAAGTGGAGACGTGCAGTTGAAGCCCTATATTCCACTAGGAACCCAAGGGAACAATAATATAAATAGTAATAATAATAGATGGTTGTAGGCAATCGGTAGGAAGCCTTGAGCCTAGGTTTCGTGCTAGTTGGCACTCATCAGCAAGGTGTATCTGCAACCTTGAAGGACTAGAAGACTAGACACGTAACACTAGTTACTAGTGTGAAATCAAAAGATAAGATTTTATTTTGATAAATCACACAGTGTTGGACAGTAAGTAATATGAACTGAAGACGTTTCTAGCATAAATTATTACTGTTCATAATCATATCAAGTAACTGACACAACTGTTTTTGCTTCACTTATATGCATGAGTAAAAAATCTTATCCATAATGGAGTTGTAGTCAACCATGGTGCCCAAGTTTTATACTTATATCAATAAAAGCTGTGTCTATATGATAACAGATCTACTGTTTGAGGTTTCAGTCAGAAGTCTACGGTTAACTTACCAGCACAATCCATTCAGTTTAATTGTTAATACTGAGCCACAGGGAACCTGAGGAGAGTGAGCTAAATGACCACAGAAGCAAATGATAACAGTTTAAAACATCGTCAAATACTGTTGGAAATTTTCAAATCAGTAGCAGACCATTCTGCGCAGTAACTAATAACTGCACTGAGTGATAATAGTTCATGCAATATTCAGCCTAAATGTGATTAAGAAGTCAATTATCCTTAAGAAACGTCTGCATACCTTGTATGGTTTACAAGTTCACTGTAAACTAGACTAGACTGCACTTACTAAGGAATTAATTCTCATTAAAAGTCCATTCAACTGTTTAGATAATATTGTTCGGATTAGATTGGATTATATATATTCTTGAATATGGTCCAAATTCATTTATTCAGATCATTTGAAAGTACTTTTAAAAATAAAATGTTTGTTAGCAGAAAAAAAGATTAAAACAGGTCTTTATTTTGCAGTATTTTTTTTGCTTTTCTTGAATCTCGTGTCAGTTAAATGAATAGTGATCACTATCTTCTGTTTAGGTTGTTATTTATTTCTATTGTTTTGCATTCCAAATGAACGGCTTCGAACTTGAGCTTTGAAGTTTCAGGAGTAGTAGTAGTAGTAGTAGTAGTAGTAGTAGTAGTAGTAGTAGTAGTAGTAGTAGTAGTAGTAGTAGTAGTAGTAGTAGTAGTAGTAGTAGTAGTAGTAGTAGTAGTAGTAGTAGTAGTAGTAGTAGTAGTAGTAGTAGTAGTAGTAGTAGTAGTAGTAGTAGTAGTAGTAGTAGTAGTAGTAGTAGTAGTAGTAGTAGTAGTAGTAGTAGTAGTAGTAGTAGTAGTAGTAGTAGTAGTAGTAGTAGTAGTAGTAGTAGTAGTAGTAGTAGTAGTAGTAGTAGTAGTAGTAGTAGTAGTAGTAGTAGTAGTAGTAGTAGTAGTAGTAGTAGTAGTAGTAGTAGTAGTAGTAGTAGTAGTAGTAGTAGTAGTAGTAGTAGTAGTAGTAGTAGTAGTAGTAGTAGTAGTAGTAGTAGTAGTAGTAGTAGTAGTAGTAGTAGTAGTAGTAGTAGTAGTAGTAGTAGTAGTAGTAGTAGTAGTAGTAGTAGTAGTAGTAGTAGTAGTAGTAGTAGTAGTAGTAGTAGTAGTAGTAGTAGTAGTAGTAGTAGTAGTAGTAGTAGTAGTAGTAGTAGTAGTAGTAGTAGTAGTAGTAGTAGTAGTAGTAGTAGTAGTAGTAGTAGTAGTAGTAGTAGTAGTAGTAGTAGTAGTAGTAGTAGTAGTAGTAGTAGTAGTAGTAGTAGTAGTAGTAGTAGTAGTAGTAGTAGTAGTAGTAGTAGTAGTAGTAGTAGTAGTAGTAGTAGTAGTAGTAGTAGTAGTAGTAGTAGTAGTAGTAGTAGTAGTAGTAGTAGTAGTAGTAGTAGTAGTAGTAGTAGTAGTAGTAGTAGTAGTAGTAGTAGTAGTAGTAGTAGTAGTAGTAGTAGTAGTAGTAGTAGTAGTAGTAGTAGTAGTAGTAGTAGTAGTAGTAGTAGTAGTAGTAGTAGTAGTAGTAGTAGTAGTAGTAGTAGTAGTAGTAGTAGTAGTAGTAGTAGTAGTAGTAGTAGTAGTAGTAGTAGTAGTAGTAGTAGTAGTAGTAGTAGTAGTAGTAGTAGTAGTAGTAGTAGTAGTAGTAGTAGTAGTAGTAGTAGTAGTAGTAGTAGTAGTAGTAGTAGTAGTAGTAGTAGTAGTAGTAGTAGTAGTAGTAGTAGTAGTAGTAGTAGTAGTAGTAGTAGTAGTAGTAGTAGTAGTAGTAGTAGTAGTAGTAGTAGTAGTAGTAGTAGTAGTAGTAGTAGTAGTAGTAGTAGTAGTAGTAGTAGTAGTAGTAGTAGTAGTAGTAGTAGTAGTAGTAGTAGTAGTAGTAGTAGTAGTAGTAGTAGTAGTAGTAGTAGTAGTAGTAGTAGTAGTAGTAGTAGTAGTAGTAGTAGTAGTAGTAGTAGTAGTAGTAGTAGTAGTAGTAGTAGTAGTAGTAGTAGTAGTAGTAGTAGTAGTAGTAGTAGTAGTAGTAGTAGTAGTAGTAGTAGTAGTAGTAGTAGTAGTAGTAGTAGTAGTAGTAGTAGTAGTAGTAGTAGTAGTAGTAGTAGTAGTAGTAGTAGTAGTAGTAGTAGTAGTAGTAGTAGTAGTAGTAGTAGTAGTAGTAGTAGTAGTAGTAGTAGTAGTAGTAGTAGTAGTAGTAGTAGTAGTAGTAGTAGTAGTAGTAGTAGTAGTAGTAGTAGTAGTAGTAGTAGTAGTAGTAGTAGTAGTAGTAGTAGTAGTAGTAGTAGTAGTAGTAGTAGTAGTAGTAGTAGTAGTAGTAGTAGTAGTAGTAGTAGTAGTAGTAGTAGTAGTAGTAGTAGTAGTAGTAGTAGTAGTAGTAGTAGTAGTAGTAGTAGTAGTAGTAGTAGTAGTAGTAGTAGTAGTAGTAGTAGTAGTAGTAGTAGTAGTAGTAGTAGTAGTAGTAGTAGTAGTAGTAGTAGTAGTAGTAGTAGTAGTAGTAGTAGTAGTAGTAGTAGTAGTAGTAGTAGTAGTAGTAGTAGTAGTAGTAGTAGTAGTAGTAGTAGTAGTAGTAGTAGTAGTAGTAGTAGTAGTAGTAGTAGTAGTAGTAGTAGTAGTAGTAGTAGTAGTAGTAGTAGTAGTAGTAGTAGTAGTAGTAGTAGTAGTAGTAGTAGTAGTAGTAGTAGTAGTAGTAGTAGTAGTAGTAGTAGTAGTAGTAGTAGTAGTAGTAGTAGTAGTAGTAGTAGTAGTAGTAGTAGTAGTAGTAGTAGTAGTAGTAGTAGTAGTAGTAGTAGTAGTAGTAGTAGTAGTAGTAGTAGTAGTAGTAGTAGTAGTAGTAGTAGTAGTAGTAGTAGTAGTAGTAGTAGTAGTAGTAGTAGTAGTAGTAGTAGTAGTAGTAGTAGTAGTAGTAGTAGTAGTAGTAGTAGTAGTAGTAGTAGTAGTAGTAGTAGTAGTAGTAGTAGTAGTAGTAGTAGTAGTAGTAGTAGTAGTAGTAGTAGTAGTAGTAGTAGTAGTAGTAGTAGTAGTAGTAGTAGTAGTAGTAGTAGTAGTAGTAGTAGTAGTAGTAGTAGTAGTAGTAGTAGTAGTAGTAGTAGTAGTAGTAGTAGTAGTAGTAGTAGTAGTAGTAGTAGTAGTAGTAGTAGTAGTAGTAGTAGTAGTAGTAGTAGTAGTAGTAGTAGTAGTAGTAGTAGTAGTAGTAGTAGTAGTAGTAGTAGTAGTAGTAGTAGTAGTAGTAGTAGTAGTAGTAGTAGTAGTAGTAGTAGTAGTAGTAGTAGTAGTAGTAGTAGTAGTAGTAGTAGTAGTAGTAGTAGTAGTAGTAGTAGTAGTAGTAGTAGTAGTAGTAGTAGTAGTAGTAGTAGTAGTAGTAGTAGTAGTAGTAGTAGTAGTAGTAGTAGTAGTAGTAGTAGTAGTAGTAGTAGTAGTAGTAGTAGTAGTAGTAGTAGTAGTAGTAGTAGTAGTAGTAGTAGTAGTAGTAGTAGTAGTAGTAGTAGTAGTAGTAGTAGTAGTAGTAGTAGTAGTAGTAGTAGTAGTAGTAGTAGTAGTAGTAGTAGTAGTAGTAGTAGTAGTAGTAGTAGTAGTAGTAGTAGTAGTAGTAGTAGTAGTAGTAGTAGTAGTAGTAGTAGTAGTAGTAGTAGTAGTAGTAGTAGTAGTAGTAGTAGTAGTAGTAGTAGTAGTAGTAGTAGTAGTAGTAGTAGTAGTAGTAGTAGTAGTAGTAGTAGTAGTAGCAGTTTAATTTTAATTTTACCTATGTGTAATTCTTGGATTGATTAACTTTTTTTTGCCAACTGTATTCACATAGAATTCGCTTAAAATGTTCAGAATATTGGCATTTATGCTAGTGACAATAAGCTGATCAATCACAGGTGGTTCAGTTTTAGACTTTTATGCTGTGGCTGCTTTAAAATACCAAGTACATTTTTTAGACACAAGTGTTTCTTTCATTTTGACTATTATTAGGAAATTTTCAAACTAAATATCCATCACTGTCACTGTTAATCAAACTTGCCAAAAGTATCTTTTCATGTCTAAAAGTTAGTCTGAGCTATTTATTCAGTGAGACATCGACTTCAGCTGCTTCATAAACATCTGTACTAACTAATCATATCTTCTAGTCCCGTGTGCATTTTAACAAGTGAGCTCATTATGTATAAATGTTATTGTATTATTTTCGCCTACTTATTGTCAGTATAATTCAGGCTGTTATTACACTTACTTTGATGACTTTAGACAGATGGTTTACAATCTAATTTAACCTGATGACGAAATTACTGTTATATTCAAAACGTGAAGTTTATACTGCTGACTGTAATTGGCATTAATTCAAATTGCAGTTTCAATAATAGTTTCCTAAATTACACAGCTTGGGCATTGTATTTTTCAATCCTTAGTCATAAAATAGAACGAAGGAGTTACCCAGTAATCTGCATTCACAGAAGTTGGGTTTGCAGGAACTCGGCTAATTTCAAGATAAATTTAGTTGTGAACCGATATTAGTTACAGGATTCTTAAAAAAAACATGTAACGCTGGACACCTGATAATGACTGAATGGTAAACGCACTTGTCTTGTAACCTAAGGATCCTACACTTGACCTATGTTGGCTCCTGAATTGAGGGAAATTTACGGCATCAATAAGTGTTTGAGCAAAGTTAGGATTGGAACGAATTAATATCTACTTTACTGATACATGTGCATCGGTGGTTCAGAGACAGAACGCTCTCCAAACACGTACGTGGTCTGGAGATCGATCCTCAGCTGACTCACTCCCGAACCTCGCGAAGCCGGTAGAGTAGGGCTGGCAGAGAGGGAAGGTTGGGTGTGAGGTTAGCAACCCCACCCCGTAAAAAAGAGCACAACTGCTACTGAAACTTCAGAGCTGAAGCTTGAAGCCATATGCTCCAATTGGAACATAAAGGAATGAAATAATATAAATAATAATTGCTGATACATAATGGCAAATGGCACCACATATCAAATTATTAATGAATTTTATCTTCATTACATAACAGCTCCACTTGGTAGTTTCTAGGAGTGTAGGAAAAACTAATCAGAGTACTTCTAACCAACGACGTTAGTTCATGATGAAATCCTGTAACCAAACATATCCCTGCAAACCAATACTTGAATATCAGTGAGATGCTCTCTGGCGATTGGCCCCATTCAAGTAGGTAGTTACGTGAGGCTCTAGTGAGAAGTCGTAACCAGTAGGGTACATCAGATCATGCGCGAATCCTTTTGGTGGTTGCGTACTGATGGAGAGTCCCAAACTGGGAAGAAACAGCTGTCCAGTACTCCCTGTTTGTTTTCCAATGATACTCTAACAGATTTCAGCTCCTGATGAGTCTCCGCAAACCAACACTTGAATGTGATTTTCATTGTTTGGTGAAGGAAGAGTCCACACGAAGTGTGTTTCACTAATATAATGATACTATTGAAGTGAGTTTGAAACACCGAAATTGTTCATTTACTGGTATTTTACTGCAACTATCCTAGTAAATCTGAATTCTTAAATTCCAGAATCAAGTTGAAGTTTAGTGAAATACTAAAAATGACATATATTTCATATAAAGCAAATCTACTTCACGAGAGGGAATGTAGGATAAGATACTGTGGTAACAAAAAGAGAAGCAAATTGTAATGCACAGTATTTCAAAAAGCTATTTATCAGGTAAGAAAGAGATCCTTGAACAAACAATTAACAACAACAACAAAGAGAGCAGTTCATTTTTGTCACTTAATATCCCGGTATGCTGCTCTTTCGCTGCTTGTAACGACTAAGTGACCCACAAAAAGTACGCCCAAAGTAATTTCAGTCATCGTGTATGGTGTCGGTCAATGACAGTGAACTTGAATACAGAAACTGGAAAGTTAACATCACCTATCTTACAATTCCTATAATTCAAAATATATTACTGCGGACAATAAGACAAAGCAACTCTCCAACGGCTTCTATGTATGAGTCTGTGTTTTCTTACAAGTAACAAAGAAATTTGATTACGGAACTATTCAATGAGAACTGTGCAAAAAGTTATTCAGAAATTTATGGGGTTTCATGCGTGTGTGTGTGTGCATGAAATTCATATAAGAAGAGAAACATCTTCGACTGATAAACTCCTCCATTCACCTGGTTGTCTAGTTGCTAAGTTATTAATGATAACTACTACTACTACTAATTGTGATAAACAGGGTATACATCTTCGCATTATGGTTACATAATCATAAGATATTGATAAAAAAACACAGTGAAATACGCGAAAACACATTTCTCTCTCTCTTTCTCAATGACAACAAAAATAAACGTAGAACTGATAAACAAATTAAATAACTTTTAGTATATTGAATATAGTAACAAAAATATATACAATCAAAAAATACATATCGGATGAATCGCTTTCGCTGGCTTAATTTCATGTTAGATTATGTGAGTCAAGTTATTGATAATAAAAAGTATCAACTGCAAATTGTGTAATTGCATCATGGTGTTGTTTGTCTACACGTATGTGTGTAGTGTGTGTGTGTGTGTGTGTGCGTGACATGATAGTGAACTCCAAAAACAGTATAAACAGTGGAGATTATTGATTACTAAGGTTAGGGTGTTTTCTTTTTCGTTTTTGTTTCGACAAAGTCATAGATACAAAAGTGAGCTGATAACAGTTTTGTTATCGAGTAGTGGGGGTAAACTTGTTTCTTTTTGTGTCCTCACTATCAATTAAAATTAATAAATAGAGTTGCTGAGAATAGGGAAGTAAGTTATGGAAAATCAAAACAAGTGATTCAGCGAATAGACTCTTTTCAACGAATTTATTATCAAACTGTACAATCGTATGTATATGGTTTTTAAGAAGTTACATCCGGTGAGGGAATAAAATCACAGGTGCGAATACATATAATAATAATAATAATAATAACAATAATAATAATAATAGTATCCAATGCAAATTGGATAAACAAAACGAAGCAGAAGTAGAGCCAAAATATGATTAGGGATTGCCAAACTTTAGCCTAGAAAGGTTAAGATCATGATGGTTGGAGAGGTTGAGCTGGCTTTTCTGTTTCGATGGCCGAAGTTTCATCAGTACAGATAAGTCGGATACGTAGGGATTTGGGTAAATCACGTTTGACCTTTAAAGGCGGAGGCTATAGAGACAGGGTGATCATCATCGACAGATGTTCAATGATCACGCTTCATATTGCTCCATTTCCACCTCTTCGTAATCATGTGGGATAGTGTTCTTGCACTGTCTCGGAGAAAACTCGAGTCGAACGACTGATATACCTAACTCCACACGAGCAGATGAACTGATAAACGCACACAGAGTTGGTCAACAGCGGGATCTTGTCCTTCAGCTTATTGGACCTACTATTAATTATTTAGAAACCATATATATATAATTTGTAGCTCAGGTGGATGATTTGCAATTAGTAGTGTTCTCTGAGCTGGTTGGTCTAATTTGTTAATTTAATAAGAATTTTCCATGAAGTAAGTAATAGGCGTTTTGTCTTGTCCCAGTGATTCTTATTCTTATCTTTGATAGAATTATGAATCATAATACCCTTCTACAAATACACTGGCTTTTAAACTAGGAATGCCGTTGGTTGTTCATAAAAGAAAGGGACATTATTGTTAATTGAAAATGTGTGAAATAAAACTGTGAAAAGAATTCCTGCATATACTCATCAGTTACTGGGGAATTACTGGTCACTGTAAACAATACAGCTCTACAGGAGGTTGATCGCAAGTTCCAATATCCCAGTGGCAACATCACTCTCTATGAAGTACTGGGTAATGCGTCTTCAAGTCCTCTGGGAGATACTGACCCCTACAGGGTTGCAGATACTCTCTACTGACGAGTTCAAATAAACACCATATCTAGATCCTCCAGATGAAAAGAATTTATGTATCTTAGGGATTTCCATAAGAGTGAATGATTGCAGTTAAGTTTACAAGTTACCTGATCGGAAAAGGGCACTAATCTTTAAGACCCCTAAATGTGTTTCGAAAGAGAGGACAACCTATCTGAGGTTCATGAAATGATGCTTACTAATAAATAAAACTAAATACTCAGAGTTAATGAGGACAGTTGAGATGCACTTGAGACCTATTCTTCAGTTATTGGTTTTACTCTGTCACTAAATGAAATATATTTTCCCCAATAACTGGCTTCATTTTGAATTGTTTGCTTTTTAAGTCTGGCAAAATGAATCGACTCAGTTGCTTACAAGCCTCTAACTTGTACACGCGTTGTTTGAAGTGACAGGGTTGAATGTAGACTGACACACTCTGTCGTTAGTAGACAGTGTTTATGCTTGTTGACAACTTATTCTAAGGAATAAGTTAGCTAGATAAGTGAAACTAACACAAATAAAGGTATATAGAAATCTTGATATGCTTAGAACACTGTCATTTGTTTCAGTTATATAGGATTGGAGTATTAGATGTCATCATTTTATTACCTTTCATTCTTTATCAGATAATGAAAACTGTTTGCTGAAAACACTAAATCAAGTGACACGTAGATTTTTTGAATACCAGAGGAACTGATGAGGACATGAAACTGGGTATCGGGAAAGTAAGGCAAGCTTTCATTACTATCAAGTCTGTGTGGAGATCAACATGAAAAATAAGATCCGGATTTTCAACTCAAATGTGAAGTCAATGCTTCTATCCGGATCAGAGACTTGGCCGGCGCGTCATAAGAGCACCTCAAACAAGCTTCAGACCTGCATCAACAGCTGTCTCCGCTCAGTACTCAAGATTCGATGGTTGACCAG